TTGATGAATTAAGCGAAACATTTAAATTCCACTGAATTTATAGTACTGTCAAACAGTATTTTAGCAGTATTTCTCAATTGTGTGGTTGTGGTTATACATTGGTTTGCTTGTTTGGTTTGAGTCTGTGAATTTCAAAACCCCAGACACCTTTTAGATGTCTCGGGTTATCCAACCGAAGTCTTATCAGGTAAAAGATTGTATTTTGATTGTTGAATTTTGGTGTCTGAATTACATTTTTCTTTTTGAACTTGAATTGTAGTTGTTTTAATTGTGGAGGCAAATTTCCATAATTTCCATAAATAAAAAGATAATTGTGCACTTGCTTTTTTTAAAAGGGCAATTAGAAATACTACATTTTGTAAAGCTTTACAATCACTGGTAATGCAATTAACTAAGTTTCAGTTTTAGATTTTCAATTGCTTCAAGAAAAATAAAGCCATTTTGGCATATTTTAGCTTCCGTACATTTGTAGCAAGACCTAGTGTTAACGTCCAGAAATAGATGGCACGTTAACACCACTAATAAGATGATGTGTGTTCCTCTAAGGAAACTCTGAGCCTGAACATTTTCATTTTATCTACCCTAATTTATATATACGAAGAAAGAAATTCAACTTCTTCACTGATGATATTATCTTGACTGTGGAGACTGGCTGCCATCTGACAGTGTGAAAGATCACCTTCTGTTGACTCAACACCATCACTCCCCTTTTTTCGGCAGGCTGTTTTTAATTAATTGACGTAAGATCATATCAAATGATCTGATGATGTGATTTACAAGTGAGCTACTGCCATGCTATCTTTGAGACAGTGCTCTTCACTGTTGTGCTTCTGTTCCACACTGTTACAAATCATCAAAGGTTTAAACTTTGTAAGATTGTTTTGATTTGAGCTCTCGTTACATTGCTTCAGAGAAGGGAGTTAAAAGAGGACACTGTTAATTCTCCTCTACAGAAAATCAATTAACAGAATAGACAACAGCAAACCAGAATAGTATTGCTCACAGGGGGCTTACATCCACAAACACAATTCCCTCCCCATTATAGATACAAAAATAGATAAGAAAACATCTACTGTATATAAAGTATATGGCAGACAATAAAAATGTGGGTTACTTTGTGCCAAATCACGTTAATTAAATTCAGAAATAGTTACACCCAACGAGAAAATGCAGTAACTATCTATATCACAGCACCCCGTACTGAACCTTTCCTGTCAACACACACACACACACACACACACACACACACACACACACACACACACACACACACACACACACACACACACACACACACACTTGGTAAACACTGCACAAAGCAAGCTTTCACCACAGGCACAGTTAAGAGTATATGTATTTTCTGTTGTCTGTAAATGAAATGAAGTGAGAAAGTAGCCACAGCTAAAAATACCTGTAGACATTCTGCCAGCTTGTCAATGCACACTATTCCCTTCAGTGAGTGTCTGCTTTCTGGAATTATGGATGCAGGTCTGTGTGTTCTCAGGGTGTGTCTGTGTCTGTTTTTGTAACGGGTCCACTTACAGAAATGTATGAACTGACTAAAACATAAGGCAAAGGAAATCTGTGCAAGCAGCCACAGTACTTATTAGCACCAGAGCTGGCGAAACAGTAACAGGCACATGTTTTTCTCACATGTGCTGCTGTGATATATCAGCAGCAAGTTATTTCTAATTCAAGAAAAATGTCATCAATGCCTTTGACATTCTCTGTGATGTTTGACTGGTGGATGGTAACTCAATATCGCACAACCACCAAAGTAAATACAACGATCAAATGTAGGCTGACATGTCTGCCCATGCTTTGAGAAAAAAATTGTGAAATGCTTATTTCCGATAAATTACAGGTTTTCTTTTCTGATAAAGATATTGTTTGTTAAAGATCATTAGTGGAACACATCTTGTAAATACATATGCTTATTTCTTCTCAGAAATAGCTGCTATACGCCATCGAAGCAACCGTGTTATTTCCGATAACGTATTTTTTTCCCGATAGAAATATAGTTGTTCAAAGATCATTAGTGGAAAGCATTCTTAACACATTTCTTTTTTTTTTCTCTCAGAAATCAATGCTAAACGCCAGCGCAGCACCAACCGTGAGATGTTTTGCTGTATTGCTGAGAGCGATTCATGAAAGTGTGGTTGTTCATCTCAAATCTCTGAATTAGTTCCCTGAAAGCCTATCCAAAATGGCCAGCACTTCCTTGGCCTCTAAATTACTTAGATGATGCCTCTATCCCTAGAGAGTTCTGCTGGCTATATGTCTGAATTCAACACATCATTTTGAAAAAATTGTAGTGGGCAATTGGGGTAATAGAAAGAAATAAAAAAGTATATCTACGATGCGGGATACCATTCCCTACAAAGTATCATCACTTGGTATTGTATTGTTACATTTACAACATAGTGATTTACCTGATTTGTATATATGTTCAATTCATGAAACTTCTCTCACTAATGTCTTCCCTGTATGGTAAAGGTGTTCCGTTTTAGTTTCTAGCCCAAGAACAACAAGTATAGTGCGATAAATCAACATGCTCCATTTCCCAACGCATCGCGAGTTGAACCACTTTGCGTCAACATTTAACATAATTATTAGCACAACGCATCAAACTATGAAGCCTTACTATGCTCACAGTTTAAAGCAGGCGGATAATAATGTGAATTCTAACAAAATCTACCTGGTGAGTTTTAGTAAAACAGCGTGGTTTGGGCTAGACTAAGTTCATTTTGCAATAGACGCCTAATGTTGTCGCAGATGGGAAAACATTTACAGTTAAAAGCCTGATTTGTTTCATAAAGTAATAAAAGGTGCCTTGTTTGCGTCCGTATCAGGGTTAGGTCCAATTCAAAACCTTTTTTTTGACCGCCTGAAAATGTGATTGGGCTGGATTGATACATGACGAAAAAGGTAGCTAGCAGCATTGATAGTAGCTTAAGGTCCACATCTCCTGCTTAAACAGAAGAAATTCACACTCAAAAGAACTAGTGATGTTGTTTTCTCTGAGGCAAAGCATGGCACAGTTTACTGATGTAACAGGAAGTTGCTACAATCAGCTAGCCAGTCAGGGGGTAGGAAAAAGGTTTTAACTCCGTAAAACATGATAAAAAAGCACTTCCCTGAATCAATAAATATTAATTTATCACAAGGCAAAAGTCTCAGTTAAAGGGAAAGTGTTAAGATTTGGCTATACCCAGATTGCAATCAACTGAATACCATTCCGTTAACCAATGTCTTTACGAAACTGCGGTAAAAAGAACGGTAAGTGCAAATCGTAGAAATTCTCAGGTCCTTCACCTTGCTCCTTGCTCAACCTTGACATAACTGTACTATAGGAGCAACACAATTAATGTGGCGACTGGCAGAACAAAAGTTATACAAGTATGATGGCCTTTGTAGAGCCAGTCCGTTCTCGTACATGGCGATGCAAAATGGCGGACTTGAACAAAGAAGTCCCACTCTTAATGTAGATACACAGAGCTCATTCTAAACTCATTCTAAACTAAAATAATTCCTTGTTTCAGGTGATTTTACACTAAAACATAGATATGAATACTATACTTGATTTATGTAAGTATATCCCCTGAAAACTATACACTGGCCCAAAGAATTAATAATTTTTGATATTATTTACTAAGAGTTAGCCACTTAAAAATGTGGACATGGTTTATTTGAGGTCCTGGTAACAAAAGCAAACAATCCCACAACTGTAATTGAATTATTGCCTGAAATCACCTTCTTCTAAGTAAGCCACGAACACTTTAAACCAATTAAGAAAAACTGGAAGCAAGAACACGTGAGTTTCATGGAAAATAGAAGTATAGTAAATAATTAGGGCCGGGACTTTAACGCGTTAATTAAGATGAATTAATTACACAAAAATTAACGCGTTAAAAAAATTAACGCATTTTAATCGCACTTATTTTTGCACCGCGGAACGTTTCTCACTGGATGAGTTTCAGGGGTACCGATTATACTGGAGCACCAACTAACGTTCATGACTTCAACAACAACAAACCACAGTGAACAATAGTCAAACATGAACGAAAAGCTGATGAGACCGCTTTGGTTGGCCCCGTGGATGGGACATTTTGTTTTAAAAAACGGACGGATGGAAGCTCATAAGAGCACGGTTGTTTGCAAATTAGCAAAAAGGAATTCATATCACCGCAGCACATCAAGCCTCAAGTATCACCTCAATGCAAAACTATAGCAGCTAGCGTGGAAGCTAGCGTGGACGTTAGCCCGACTCGGAGTACAAGGACCCACACCCAATTCGCGTTGATCAAACAGTGGCCTATGCAACAGAGAGATTTTATTTTTCATCAGGATATTGGAAGAATAGGAGGGATTGAGGTCAATCACTGGCACTTTTTTATTTTATTTTAAATGGTACACTTTATGTTGAACTATTTATTACGTTGTTGGTGCAACTGGCACTTTATGTTGAACTGTTTATTGTTTTGGCCAAGGTTATTGAGAGAGTTGGACTGAAATTGATTAGATTTTTTAAATCAACTGTTGGTAAATCAACAAAGTCTGTTATGGCCTCTGAAGCAACAGAGAGATGTTTTCTAATAGTCAGGGTTTTCAATGTTCTGAATGTACTTGAAAGTATTGTGTTTTACTTAAAAAACAAAGTGTTATAGTTTACAGAAGGTCTACCTACCTATAGGCTACCTGAATCTCTGAAATGTACTATATTCCTAAATATGCTATTGCTACACTTTATGGCAAAAATTGCACTTTTCTGTTGGTCTTGGTTAATTACAACCTTGAAAAAAATAAACAATGTTTAGTTGCTTAAGCTTATGTATTCAGTCATTATTCAATGGTATACTAAAATCCATGTGAAAAAAATTGCTTCTCACTGTTCTCAGGTCAAATATTTATATGCGATTAAAAATGCGATTAATTGCGATTAATTAATTACAAAGCCTGTAATTAATTAGATTAATTTTTTTAATCGAGTCCCGGCCCTATAAATAATATATTAAGTCCTCAAAGCCTTTAATAATGGTGGGGCAAAGTCTATTTCAAAAGGGAAAAACATTCTACTTTTAATTTGAAAAGTTCTGGATTGTAAATTTAGAAAAGATTTTCTTGGTGAACCTTTAAATTCATGACATAAAGTTGTAGTAAACGTGAAGAACAAAAAAACTGATGTTTTACATTGTAAACCTCTTTAGTAACATGACAGATAATCCTGGTGTCAGTTGTGTGAGCTTGAGGTGTGTATACACAACATTATCCCTCTACTCAGAATCTGCTCTTTGAAAAAGAAGCTTAGGTCATCACTTGGCTGTCCATAATAATAAATCACATTACTATCCGTGCTACTAATCAATGGCTGTCAGCGATTTTTCAAACAGTGCCATGAAAATGCTTATATTGTGCAAAGTGCAGACACACGTTGTTTTGTGTCTTTTCCTTCACCACCACTGACTGGTTCATTGGATATCTTTCACATTCATCGATTCCAGCTTAACACATCCATTTCTTACCCATCTGGGAAATAAAAATGCTCTGTCCAGTTACCCTCACTCTTCACTTGTTCTCTTGCCGTTAGGACTCCAACAAACTGTGCCAGCGGCAAACCTGCTGTCCTTTAGACTCTTTCATCAGAGTCCAGTGGGTGAGCTCCTCCTCTCCGGAGCTGTTGAGGCCGAGCGAAATCCATCCGATCATCTCCTTACGCTTCATGCTGCGCTTGTTGTAGACGGAGAGGATGAGCGTGACGTCCGATAGCTGGAAAAGAGCTACCTGGAAGACAAACGTCTCTTTGTACGTTGGGTTGGGCTGTCCTCGACAGATGGATGTCTTACACTTGGACATCTCGTGGCCCATGGAGTTCAGTAAGGTCAGCTTAACATATGTATCTGAGCAAGAAACATAAGTAGATCATTAAAGAGGAAATGATGTAATCTCTAATGGCCTGTGTCCACATAGCGCCTTTTTGAAACGTTCTTGAGAAAAAGTTGTTTTCCTCCTTGCTCTACGGCTGTGTAGAACATTATATAGTAGCTAGCGCTGTCAATCATTTTAAATATGAAATCGAGATTGATCACATGATTTCCACAGTTACCTCTCGTTTAATCTCAAATGAATCGCACATTTTAAATGTACCTTAGATATATAGTTTTTTATACTCTTATGAACATGGTAATGGACAAAGAGGATTGCTTTATACAACATGTATGTTCATTATAATTGCAATAATCCAAAACAAAAATAGCTGTAGCCATAGTATTTTCAATGTATGCTATTTTATTCTTCTACTATACTTTATACTTCTAACGCTGGTTATTAACGCAGCCCTAGCAGCCCTCATAGTAGCACAGACAAATAATCCAATCCAAGGGGAGCGATGTTAGTTTGTCATACAACATTAAAGATACTTTGACGAGATATCGTTGTGATAGAAACTATAACAAATATTTCTGCCGAGAATAGGCGCTATGTGGAAACAGGCCCTTAGACATGGTTTCAACTGATGGCACCTGACTTGAGTACTGGATCATTTGTGCAAGATCCCACTGTTTCCTCTTTGTATTCTCTTGGAAATTAAAGCATTACTGCACGCTGCAGCTGTGTTTCCTCTGCAGCAGAGTGTGACCCATTTTCACCCACAAAGCATTTGTACTTGTAATAATGTCACTGCAGTCGGTGTATACCATCATGACCACATAGGATGCTGCTTTTCTCCTGATCAGACACGAATCGCAGCTGTGAGTGTTCCTGATAACAGAGCGAGAACTCAAAGGGTGCGAACGGTGTTACTTCTGTCTTGTTGCTATGCAACTACTGTATGTCTAACCTGAAGTAGGGGGTCATGTTGAAGATAAAAATGGACTAGAAAAAGTTAGTAATGCCTGTGCTTAGAGGATAAGGAGCCTCTTCTAAAACAGATGATGTAGCTAAAATTAATGATCCTCATCAGGAAGCCCTCCAGGAGCTGCTATTATTTCTCTGACTTTGACATAATGTCAGTGTCATGACATACATAGAGACTTTTAGAGCCCAGGGCAGTGTCCCAAAATGTGATGCATGCCTGCTACCAACAAATGAGAATATTCAAATACAGTACATATACCAAGTCCCTGATGCAGAATTGTAATGCATCACAGCAACAGTATTAACAGACATTGCTCGAAAACGGAAATCTAGCTTAAAATTCTTATAATCAAACAACAAAACATACATTTTGTACAGATTGTAATGTAACTGATATTCCCAAGCTGATTCCCTTCAATTTGAGTGTAAATCAGTGCCTATTCCGAAAAAAATCACTCCCAATAAATCTTTTTCATTTATCCGCGACAAGGAGAAAAGTAACCACAGGCATTATCAAGTGATTTAGCATTCACCGTTTCCTTTTTCCACTCCTCATTTCCATGCCCAAATCATGATATAAACTAAGGCAAATCCAGTGGAAAGCAAACGAGGCGAGACTGGCAATCACAATGGCTCTTTGAGAGTGTTTCGCCCCTCGTCTACCGCCGCACTCCGTAATAATGCTGTGTATTATGTTCCTGTCTAAGAGGGAGTATAAGGAATGAATTGCCGAGGCTTTCATGCCGTCGAGTGCCAGCTGCCTTCCAACGCCGAGCTCACCGCCTCGAATCACACATTCAGTTGCTCTCTTTGACATAAAAGCACAGTGGAAAAAATAGCCTTGATTTCTTTTTTGACTGCTGCTGAATGGGCTCTGTAGAGCTGTGGATGTCTTAAGTGGTCAGTAGCGGTGATGCATGGCTCTTTGGTATTGTTGCTGAATGAGAGGGGGCTGCGACTGATGATTAACTTGACTTGTCGCCTCCGTACTGTTTTGAAATGATAGAAAAAGGAGCTCTGAAATTGCTCCGCATCTTTCACCACGCTCTTTCCACTTTGTAACAAAGTCAATCAAGGCCTTCATGAGGATTTTGCACAAAGATTTTTCCCTGTTAGCAGATGTGACTATTTTCTAAATGAAATGTGGATTCGGAATGTGGATATGCTATTCAGGAAAGCACAAACAATATCAAAATCTGGCAGATAGTTATTTAGTTACATGAATAAAAGGAACGCAGCAATTAATGGGAGGACCGGGCAGTGTGTCTTCCAGATGAATATGGATCTCTCTGTTCATTTTCTGTTTCAAATGCTGCAAGCAGAACTGTAAAATGTTAAATTATAACCAAAGCGTGCAGAAGTGTGCTGTTAGAATAAAACCAGCAGTGGATGATGCACAGCTTTTCCTTCTTGCTGGAATTAGCATCCTAAGTGTTAATTCTGAGGTAAAACATAAAAGACTTGCAGGCATCACGAACACGAGAGTAACACAACACCGGTAATGAGAGTGGGAGCAGGGGTCGTACAATACATTCATTACACATTAAAAAACAAAGGGACAGGGGCTACAGCAAGCAGCTATCTCCATGGATACGTGTTTGAAGAGAGTGCGAATGTAAAGCATTTAATGCTATGTTTTTCTTTGAAAAGTAATTTTGATTTAGTACCATATTTTACTTTCAGAAACAAGCATTATGTATTTTTTACCAAGAGTGTGATGAGAAGAATTGATACAACTCTTGTGTTTGTATGCTATGTACGCAGCAACAGCCAGGAGACCTTTAGCGTAGCTTGGCATAAAGACTGGAAGCAGTGAAAAAAGCTAGCCCAACTCTGTAATTAATTACCCACCCACCAATAACTCAAAAGCTCTCAAATGAAATGATGGTATCCCTCATGAGTAATTCATCCCAAATGATGACGTTATTTTGTAGTCCGACCCGGAAGTTAGCATCACAACACCATGATAATGTCCACTCAAAACAAAAATCACGGTCAGATGGCTAGGTGTTACCACTGCTAAGCTAAAGGTGGCTAATGTTGGGCGTGAAGACATTTGGAAGTCTAATTTATCCGCTTGTTAGCAACCGCTGTTTTTATGAAAAATACATTCACCAGTGGGGTGTTTACTGACATATTTTATCTTGTAGAAAAAAGTGTGAACATCTCTTAAGGCTCTGTTAACCACACATCATATTTCACGCAATTACTAAAAACAGATTCAAGAAAATTACAGAAAGTGGTTGAATACTAACTGATTTTCAGGTTTTAAGACTCATTCCTGCACCATTCAATTGATCTTTTGATGTATAACTCTCTAAAACTGAAATGCTTATTTCTTATAATGTGGAACGGTTGCTTAAAGTAAAACGATTATAATAAGTTGACAAGCTCTTGCGCTAAATGTCTATGTTTTCCTCGTAAATAATTTATTAACAAAAAATTGTTTTTTATATTTGAAGGGAAACCAGATAAGTAAATAAAATAGTTAGAAATGTAAACTGGGTATATTACAAATGGACAATTGTCAAAGTGTTCCATGAAGCATCCATGAAGATAGTATGAAATGGTCGACAGCGAAAGCATCTCACTATGCGGCAGGGACAGAGACTCACCTCTGATTATATAAACCTGTCCACCTATCAAGTGTTTTAGGCAACAGAACAGCCCGTCTGACAACAAGGGTTGGACAGCAGTAAGAAAAAACAACAGACCAAGATGTCAAAAAGGTAGTAGGGTTAGAAATATCAGGAGCAGACATGACAGAAGATGCAAGGGAAGAGAAACAGGGTCATTAGGCCACATCATACAAAGTTCAACAAGAGGCGTTTGAACTTAGGCCCCTGAAAACTGAGCAGGAAACAGGGATCAAACCGGAGGCAAGCTGAAAGCAGGTAGAGCAATGACATAGGAATAGGTTTTATACTTCTGTCTGGATCATTCTTAGTTGAATAAATGAACCTAAATAATATACATTTCTTATACATTTAACAAAGGTCTTTCGCATTAGCTTGGACCACATTCAAGTTCCTTGTTTTTCTACACTGAAAAAGCTGAAACGTTGGCTTTAATTAAATGTATTATGTAGATTTCGCATAACTGTATCAGGTTAGTTTAAAGCAATAATATTAAGTTTAAAAATTCATAATATTAGAAAATCTATTGACATAAAACATTTAATTAAAGTAAACGTTTCAGTGTAGTGTGAGAGAGCCATTTACAATTATACCAATTCAAAAAGGTTTTTTACTGACAGTAAAGTCGATCACTTCAAGGGTTTTCATAAAAAACACATTTATTAGATTGGTTTGCTAATCTGTAAAAATATTTTGAATAAAGTTGGTGTAGAAAAAACATGATTAATTGTTCTTACATTTGCTGTATATACGATCCGTGGTGAAAAAACAAATTAAAACTAGCAATACTAACAATCACTGGTAAAATTTACGATTTTAGAATCATATTACATTCCTGGATTCTGATGATAACATTTTATGTCACTTTGTGTACTTCTGCTGAATATTCCCCTAAGTACTGTATATGTCAAAGTGTATTTATTAGTTGATTTATATTTTGTATTCCCTAATAATCTGAATCTGTAAAGTTACTAAAGCTGTCAGATATTCAGAAACTATTTAAAAAAATGATTTACACTCCTCATCACTCTTTTGGCAGTGACTCAAATAAAAACGTTTTAGGGTACTTACTGGGTGGCTTGTTGGCTGCCAGGTTTTTAAAATGGATGCCTTTGATGATCTCTACGGAGAGACGTCCTGTTGTGGCGTTGTACACCAGGCCCACGAGGATCTCTGGTGTTGAGGTCTGACTGACAGACTGGAATGATGAGGCGCTCTCACTGCACGTCATATCGGAAAGGCTGACCTGGGAATCACCACCCTGGAGATGTTGGCAGGCATTTAGTTCATTATTTAGTTCACTGCTATATTTATAAGGAAAGTCAGGGTCAATATTCCCCTATCTAGTTCAATATTGAGAATGTTCATTTGTTTTAGCTTGTTCTGAAATCCTAAACAGGTCTTACCGTGAGAGCACAGCATGGGTCCAATATGACGGGCACAGACATTTTGCCCTGAAGGTTGAGCTTGGTAAGATAGAACATCTTCTCCCCGAGCACCTTCTCCTTCTTCATCCGCTTCATACTGTAAAGGCGGAATCGGATGGCGTAGTTGCCGATCATCTCTGACTCCACGTGACTGAAGCGGAAGGTCTCGGTAAAGATTGGGCAGGGGCCTCTCTGGATTCCTGTCTTGGCTCTCTGCTTCTTGGTGGGCAGCAGCACCAGGTGAACCTGCCAGGAGATGTTGCCCGTGCGTTTCAAGGCAGGAAGATCCGACACTGCCATGATGGTAATGGCCAGCTGCTGGTCGTCTGAGTCAAAGTCAAACACAACGTCCAGAGTGCCATATTTGGCAACTGAATCTGGTTCATAACCTTTAGGGACCTGAGCTGCTGATCCACGGGCTGACATGTCCTGAAATAACCAATAAACATGTTCAATGTGCAATAAAAAACTCAATGTAAATGTTTGCTTTGTTTCAATTTGGATACTTCCCTTAGTATATTGCAATGTCGTACACTGTGAACACTTGTGCAGTTTATTTTTTGAACAAGGATGTATAAAGACAACTTGATACAAATTGGAGGCGGGGCCCTTTTCATCACTAGGAAAGTGTCCCTCTGGCACATGAACCCAAAATGGCCTGACTCTCGAGAACTAATTTACTCATCCAGGGAACTGGGCCCATAGAGCATGTGCACTTGCGATTCCCTTAAGCCCCGCCTCCAATCAGCTGTCATAAGGACATAACGGCTCGGTCAAATGAATGGCAAGGGAAAACAACTCTGGATTTGATTTTAGGATCTAATTATACAATTGATGGTTATTCAAGTGTTAGTATTCGGAAGTTGATTTAGCTTAAAATATATATATATATATAAACGCAGTAACAGTAACAGACTCTTTCCCTATGTAATTCAATGGGAAAATGTATTTTAAATATCTCCTATCATGCTATTTTTAGGCATATATTATGGGAATAAGATATATACAAATATATAAAAAAACATATCTATGATGTGTTTTGCTCAAAATACCAAACAGATCATGGATTTTAAACATCCCTCGTCTCCCTCTGTTTCAGCCCTGTTATGGTGCATTTCCACTGCGGGGCCTTGCACGGCTTAGTACGGTATAGTTAGGCCTTGGTAGGCCAGGCTCACTTTATGCTGTGTTTCCATTACAGTTTAGGAACTGGGGGCAGTAACTATAGTAACGCAGTGTAGGCGGAGCCGTGACGTCATCTTCAATGCGAACCACAAAACCAACATCAGCCGTTAGTTAGCCCTCAGAGCTCACATCTCCTCATATCTGTTCAGAAACTAGACAAAAGTTAAACAAGTACAAACCACAGACTGTCTGTGTCATGGTGAATACAGTCGCTGGTTTATTTATGTCTGTATAGGCCGTTGTTGTGAGTGTGGACGGTCGGAGCATATACTGTGTTAGCTTAGCCGATCTCCATTAGAAAAAAATATAAGATTATTTCGCCTGCAGACTTGTCGCGAATCGTCTCCTGACACATTGCATTGAGAACACCTAAACAAAACAGCAAAATGTTAATAGCGCCGATACATCACATCACCAATTTAGCCTCTGGGCGAGGACAGCTGTAAACAAAGTAAACAACAAGGTACGTGCCTCTTCGTAGCCCTTGTGGAAGTTACTCTCAGAAG